AGAGTGTATACAGCATGAATGTGTTGGGTTATCGGGGTTCAGAGTGTATACAGCATGAATTGTTGGGTTATCGGGGTCTGGGTGTATACAGCATGAATGTGTTGGGTTATCGGGGTTCAGAGTGTATACAGCATGAATGTGTTGGGTTATCGGGGTTCAAGTGTATACAGTATGAATGTGTTGGAGTTATCGGGGTCTGGGTATACATCATGAATGTGTTGGGTTGTCGGGGTCAGGTGATACAGCATGAATGTGTATTGGGTTATCGGGGTCAGAGTGTATACAGTATGAATGTGTTGGGTTATCGGGGTCTGGGTGTATTCATCATGAATGTGTTGGGTTATCGGGGTCAGAGTGTATACAGTATGAATGAGTTGGGTTATCGGGGTCAGTATACAGTATGAATGTGTTGGGTTATCGGGGTTCAGAGTGTATACAGCATGAATGTGTTGGGTTATCGGTCAGGGTATACAGTATGAATGTGTTGGGTTATCCGGGGTCTAGGTGTATACAGTATGAATGTGTTGGGTTATCGGGGTTCAGAGTGTATACGTATGAATGTGTTGGGTTATCGGGGTCAGAGTGTATACAGTATGAATGTGTTGGGTTATCGGGGTCGGAGATGTATACAGCATGAATGTGTTGGGTTATCGGGGTCAGAGCGTATACAGTATGAAAGTGTTGAGTTATCGTGGTCAGGGTGTATACAGCATGAATGTGTTGGTTATCGGGGTCAGAGTGTATACAGTATGAATGTTGGGTTATCGGGGTCAGGGTGTATACAGCATGAATGTGTTGGGTTATCAGGGTCAGGGTGTATACAGTATGAATGTGTTGGGTTATCGGGGTCCAGAGTGTATACAGTATGAATGTGTTGGGTTATCGGGGTCAGGGTGTATACAGTATGAATGTGTTGGGTTATCAGGTCAGAGGTATACAGTATGAATGTGTTGGGTTATCGGGGTCTGGGTGTATACAGCATGATGTTGAGTTATCAGGGTCTGGGTGTATACAGCATGAATGTGTTGGGTTATCGGGGTCTGGGTGTATACAGTATGAATGTGTTGGGTTATCGGGGTCAGAGTGTATACAGTATGAATGTGTTGGGTTATCGGGGTCAGGGTGTATACAGTATGAATGTGTTGGGTTATCGAGGGTCTGGGTGTATACAGCATGAATGTGTTGGGTTATCGGGGTCTGGTGTATACAGTATGAATGTGTTGGGTTATCGGGGTCAGGGTGTATACAGTATGAATGTGTTGGGTTATCAGGGGTCAGGGTGTTTCAGTATGAATGTGTTGGGTTATCGGGGTCAGGTGTATACAGCATGATATTTGAGTTATCGGGGTCTGGGGTATACAGCATGAATGTTATCGGGGTCAGAGTGTATACAGCATGAATGTGTTGGGTTATCGGGGTCAGAGTGTATACAGTATGAATGTGTTGGGTTATCGGGGTCAGAGTGTATACAGCATGAATGTGTTGGGTTATCGGGGTCAGAGTGTATACAGTATGAATGTGTTGGGTTATCGGGGTCAGAGTGTATACAGCATGAATGTGTTGGGTTATCGGGGTCAGAGTGTATACAGTATGAATGTGTTGGGTTATCGGGGTCAGAGTGTATACAGTATGAATGTGTTGGGTTATCGGGGTCTGGGTGTATACAGTATGAATGTGTTGGGCTATCGGGATGTAAGGGGGTGCCCAATAAACTAGCCTCCTCGTGGGCAATCTAAAAAAAAATCTAAAACTAAAACAATTTCGACTTACCATATAAATTCTTGGTCTTTTATGTCGCGTATTTTTTAGATACGTTTTTATGTCTATTTAATGAGATAACCTAATTTAACCTTATCTGTTGGACTTTGTATATATATATGTGTGTGTGTGTGTGTGTGTGTGTGTGTGTGCGCGTGCGTGCGTGTTAGAGGACGAGGTGAGGAAGGTCAAAGTTAACAAAAAGTTCTGGACGTGGGGCTCACCGCGCCGCCGCCTCGCACTCACATGAAAGCAAAATATTGTATTGTCCTTTGCCAGTCTCTAAAAGTGTTTCCTGAAGAACATCCCCTGTAATTATGATAAAGCTCAGTACAGGTACAGGATTAGGCTAAAAAAATTAACGAAATGTGTTCCTGTGTGTCCGATCACTCAATGCACGCACGTGTATAGTATAGATAATTTATAGTTATTCAGTAAATTCCTCATACAAATTTACATTGATTCACCATGTATATTGGCAGTGCAAGTATACAGAGCTAGTGCGGGTATACAAGCAATGTAATTACATAGACAATGCGGATATACAAACAATGTACTGTACAGACAATGCGGGTATTCAAAACAATAGCAAATATCATCACGACAACTTTTGACAGTATATCTCGAATGAATATACAGTACACTACACACACGAATCACAGCACTATACTTGGGACAACGTGTAGAGAAGGACCTACTGTATGCACTGAACTATAGGACAGTGTCTAAAAGATGAACCCATAGGAGAAGTTAAGACCATACATACTGTACAAGATACACCCCTGGTTAAATTATTATTATTTTTTTATTGGGGTATGACAGTAAATTTTCATCCTAGGTTAAATCCTGACTGGAAGAGTAAGGGAAGGCAACTGTGGGAGCTGCAACACACAAGATACTCGACATTCTGAAGAGGAAGTGGCGAGCAGTGGTGCGATACAATGCAGGATTTTCTTCGATGGAGATAACTGTGTATCACTGCCTATCGTATCTTGTTGTTCGACACAGCGATGGATATTTACTGTAGCAGCGCCATCGCCTCTATTCGACACTTGGTCATTAAATTTTAGCAACGCCATCGCCTCTGTACTAAAGCTGATCACACACACACTCATTCTTAACTGAGTTTGGGTGGTTGATCTTCAGGTGAGATAAGCTGGGTGGAGGGGGGCGAATCTTCAAGTGATAAAGAAAGCTGATACTATTGTGGCGGAAATGTTTGTCAATAAGAGAAAAACAAGAACACATCATCAAGGGACTTAACTCTCACGGGACGACTGATGAAGTTTCCAACCCGACGCAGCAGTAAAATCTCATTAATAAGCTGAAGACAAGATGCAGGTCAAGCACCACCACAGCCTCTCATCTCCTCCCTGCTACCACCACCACCCTGCCACCCCACTCCCTGCTGACACTCCCGCCAGCAACCACCCGGCACAAGGTTATCGTCGCAGTATGGAAATCTGATAAGAACTGAGGCCACTGACGCCATCTGGATGAGTGTTTATATCTCTGTGTGTGTGTAATAATAATAATAAACGGTTTATTAATAGAGTTGCTGAAAATATACAAACTTACATGTGCTTTAGACATAATGATATGTGTTCAATACATTTACAGGGCTGTACACTACATGTGTGTGTGTGTGTGTGTGTGTGTGTGTATCTAGATTTTCTATAAATACACATCAAATTTTAGGTGGACAACATTATTTCAGTAGTAAGTCTCGAGGGAAGTGTTACACGTTACTCGCCCTCAAGAACCACCTACCGGGGAAGTGAACACATACTCAGGAACCACCTGTCGGGGAGTAAACACAGTGAAGTATTCCTCCCGCCCTCTCGACAACTGGCCAATTCACTAAAAACTCTCTTCAATCACAGGTGAGATACGGAGTGCCACAGATCGATACAGCGATGCCACTCACTGACAGCATCCGGTTGACTGGGGAGGGGAGGGTGGCCATCAGGGGCTGGTGGTGAGAAAGCTGTCATTGTCACCGTCCTTATTGCTCATCTTGTGTGTGTTCTTTGGTTCTCTAACCTGTTGTTCTTCCTGTTATATCCCTGGTATTATTGTGTGTTATTTTGTTGTTATATCCGTTGTTATTGTTCTCTTTGTATGTTATTTTTGTTCTTATGTTGTATCCTCGTTCTCATTGTTCTACCTGTGTGTTCTGTCTAGTCACCAGATCACCAGGAAAACATTTATAAAATTATTATTCTAAATTACAAAAGATTTTCCTGTTGTTTTTGTAAAATGTTCTGTTTCTGTTTTGTTGTGTGTTGTGTTATTGTTCTTGAGTGAGTATTGTTTGTTATTGTTTCAATATTGTTATTGTTTTGGTAATAATTGTGGGTTATGGCTATTTTATTATTATTATAATTATTATTGATGCTGTAGTGATTTATAGAATTTTGTTATTGTTGTTCATGTTTGGCAATACTGTTTTCAATGTGTGTGTGTGTGTGTGTGTGTGTGTGTGTGTGTGTGTGTGTGTGTGTGTGTGTGTGTGTGTGTGCACAAGGTGGTGTAAAGCGTCTAGTGTGGCAGCATTATGTTAGTGTTAAAGTGCAGGCACTGCTTGTTCCCCAGAGGGACGGCGCATAGGCCCACTGGCATGTGGACACGTCCTGGCGCCTACCAACCACTTCCCCACTGCCTTGCAGATTAATCTTGGTAGGTATAAGGCTACGGGAGTAAACCTCGAACGAAAAATCTGACAGACATGCTTACAGAGCTCCAACAAGAACCCACCGGCAGTTTAGGTGGAATAGTAGTAGGCCATACAGGGAGAGAATTCAGAACGTTGATCAAGGCAGCTTCACTCCTCTAGTGTTCACAACCTCTGGTGGGATGGGACCAAGTGCAAGATGCTTCTATGCCAGACTCGCGGAGGTGATCTCTGAACAGAGGCAGCAGATGTCGACTGTCTTTTCTCATTCGGTTGGCTTTGCTCTGCCTCAGGGGAACGAGTGCTTCGGCCCCAAGCCGACAACAGTTGCAGACCTTGACTATGAGGCTACAGTCACTGAATGCCTCATAGATCTGCAGCTCAACTAACACAACATAGCTAGGATAGCTACTTATGTATTAGGATATTTAATATTAAAGTAATAAAATGGCGGCGAAGGTGTGGCTATTGGGGGAGGCTGGAGGCCACGTTTAAAAAATATAATAATAGTAGTAGTAGTAGTGTGTGTGTGTGTGTGTGTGTGTGTGTGTGTGTGTGTGTGTCTTACCTGCTGCAGCTTGACATAGTAGGTCATGGCGGCTTCTTCGTGAGTGGCAGAGACGATGATGATGATGATCCCGCTGTTGTCGCTGATCAATAGCCAGCAGGGGGCTCCACTTCACCCCTTCGGCAGATTGCCTCTCGATGATGACGTCACGATGTAAGCTTTAAAGAGTGGTCGAATGTTGCGTCACACTATGTCTGACGTCACGCGGGGTGTGAACGCGGCTTTGATTGTTGACAAATTAAATGTGACGTCAAGAGTGGCGGTTTTCCGTAGTGTGGTAAAATTAAGACGCAGATACTGTTTATACCTTCTGGCTGAGGAAAAAAAAGAGAAGAGAAATCACCTGATGATTACACAGGTCAGCTTATTTCACCTAATGAAACATCATAATGCTAACCCAGGTAGCGTTCAGGTGTTTAATCAAGTGAAATTAAACTGGGGTTGCCTAATCTTCAAGTGACTCAAAATATCCTTTTATCATTAGTAACATAAAACCGAATTTCATAAACTGCTAAATCCATGGTGACGATATCTGATCATTATTATTAAAAACTCAAAGCAATAACTTGATCATTTCTTCGTGCCCGCCTGACTCACTCCTCCTGGTAAACAAGTTATGGGGTCATATTACGGGTTCTGAGCTGATGCCAAATTGGTTTTTGGGTTCAATGGGTGTTGTACAGTATGTTGTTGACAGTATGTTGTTGACACGTAAAGAAAACATTCAGTGTTAATGAGTCTTATATAACCTTCATAGTGTGCTAAGGGGTCTTATAACACACACACACAAGTCCCTAAAACATATACCATGCCAACTCCGAACCCCTTATATGACCGACCTCTTTTAACTGTACTGTACACTAACAACACTCGTCTCTTGTCACAGTTCTGTTTATGACTGGAGGTATGACAGTCTCAGTCCATACACTCTCAAAGACTGTCCCTCGGTATTTACTTCTCGTCTATACAGTTAGTTTCAGCATGACTCGTTAGGTTAATGTTATGTTATGTTAAGATAGTGTTAGGTTGGAGGAGCGTTAGGTTAAAATAGGATAGGGTAGGTTAGTGTTAGGTTACTCGAGGTTAGGTTAGTATTAGGTTACGTTAGATTTGGTTAAAATGGTGTTAAGTTACGTTAGGTTAGGATAGCGTCAGGGTGGTTTATCTTCAGATGAGATAAACTAGGGTGCATAATAATTAGGTGAACCCAATTTCGTTATTACATTGGCCGTCGTAGTTTCGTGCGTCGAGTGGAAAACTTTAACGTACTCGCTCCAAAAAATACCTTAACTAATTTGTAAGACATTATTACACAACGGACGATGGATTCTGACAAGCCAACAGAGACAACACGAGTTCCGATGTTCATTTTGAAATTTCTCGGACTGTTTCAATAAAGATACTTTTTGGAACGAGTATTTGACACCTCTCCCTGCATGTAACCTCTCTCTGTCTCCCCGACCAATTCTCACCTCTTACCCATCACTCCCTCCCTCAACACTTGCACACATGATACTAAACAGTCCTCTCCCTCACTGCCTTAAACACATGTTGTTGTAATGTATTTCAAGACATCAATAACCGATATCCTTAAGCTCGTACCCTCTAAAAATCAAATTATATACTAGACATCACCCAAGAAAAATAACGAAAATTTATCTCTCTATTTGTCAAAGAAATTAGGTAGGAAACCCATATTGAACATAATCTAACATCACTTAAAACCCGACTGATGTTTATAAACCTAACCAATGCTCCACTAACTACAAATTCCAGTATATGTCCGAAAACACGAATAAAAAAAAGTAAAACTAAAAAATAAAAAGCGGAAAAAATTCGTCCAAATGGTTTGAAAATGCAATCATGGAATCTAAAAATTTACATAATGAAAAAAAAAATTGCTCTACGATGGAAATTTGTCATTCCGTTTTAACATGGGTGCGACGGACGGACTTGTGGCAACCAATAAGCTGGTGCATATACTCACCAAGGCATAACAATCACTACAAATAGGGGTAAGAAACAGCTCCCAATAAATAATAAAGTCATTAATATATAATATAATTATTCAAATGAAATATGAACAATCGATACTAACTATTACTAATAACTCGGTACTTATAATAATAATAATAATTAAAGAAACATTTAGGAATACTACTAATATTAATGATAACAACAAGAATAACGATCAATAATAGTAATAATAATAATTTGTCAGGACCAACTGTTAAAAAGAAATAAATGTATCTTCTATCAATACATATCCAGGTAGCTTCAGCAGGTGCCACAGATAGCGCTCCTCAGGGTCTAATATCACAGGTTGATACGCAATATAACCCGAAGGTGGTGGAAGTTCTGGGTGGGTGGTAGTGGGGAGGTGATGGGGAGGGAGGAAGACAGGAAGGGAGGGTGGGAGGTGAAGGAGGGAGGGGTGGAAGTGATGAGGAGGGAGGGAAAGAGGTGATGGGGAGGTAGAGAGCGAGGTAACGGGGAGGGAGGTGGAAGAGGAGGGGGTAGGGAGGGAGGTGATGAGGAGGGAGGAGGGGTGTGTGGGAAGGATACCCAATATTTGCAAATTTTTAAGATCGAGGAAATTTTCACGTGCAAATAAACTTCTTCGTAAGAGTTTAAAGCTTCAGTGTTTGAATGACCACTGTGTGTGTATAAATAAAATATAATATACTGTATCATACTCGCTATATATTGTACATTAAAATAAATAACATCCCAAACTGTTATCGTTGTTATAAAAGTACAGCTTGTTTATCACCCAATAGATAACACGCTATCAGGAAATTTTAGCTCGTCTATCATAAACTATAAAATATCATAGGCTGTGCTAAGCTATACTGTGTGCCTGAATCAATATTTCCTTTTTATAACCATGTTCTGTATGTGGTGATTTTGTTTTAATCCGTATTTCAAGAATAAATATTTCATAATTTCAGTAGTCCTTTACGGGGATGGCTGAAAAGTTAATGAATTTACAGAAATTTTACCGAATTTAAAGGAAATGTTCTGGGGGTATTTGTTACAGTATACTAGGATAATTCCAAGTGATAATTATGAATGTTAATTAACTTATAGACCAAAGAAAATGGTGAAATACGTTTAGTTACTGGAATTCTACCCCATCCTCTTTCACCCTGGAGGATCCAATATTTGTGGCAACGTTTATTGGTGCACTGAAGTGGCAAGTTTTAAATTTAATAGTCCGTAATCTCGCCTAGTCAACAACGTGGGAGACTGCCTGACGAAAACACTTGGTGACGTCATCGCAACCTTTCGTTAAATTTTATTGTCAGAATGCGGAAAAAAAATTATGGTGGAACAATTGACTCTTGGTAAATGGAGTGAGATATTGAAGTTAATTAAGTTGGATTGATAAAGGTACTGTAAGTTGTAACAGCTAGGCAGGTAGTATACGCTTTTTCTGATACACAACTCTTCCCTTACCCTCACACGTGTGTGTGTGTGTGTGTATAAGCAGAGCTAGTAACAAGACACACAACACAACTGTAATTAAACAAAGAAACGATTCCCAGCCTCATCTTGTCAATGTGGCCGGAAACGTCACCAAACTGAAGCGTCTTTTATACAACACGACCTAGAATTTACATTATTTAGTATTTACATCTTATGAATGAAAGCTGATTATTACACATGAATGACGGAATTCCATTATATTGAAAGATAGTTATTGCTTTTCATTCACTTAGGGTCTTAAGTATAGGCTATTATACAAAGTTTTTTATTTATTTTAATTCTTTGGAGATTGGAGAGACCGCACTGTTGATGATCTATGAATGTTTTAATATAACTCTGAGTGTTATTACGGTCAGAGAGCAAGACGAGGGTGAGAGTAGTGAAGATAGATGAAGGTGTTGGTGAGCGGGCGGGCGGGCGGGTGTAACGGCTGAACGCTCACATTAAGCCATAAACAGGAAATAAGCTCTTGACGAAGTGACAGAAAGAATTAATGTTGGTTTTCAAACCTTTTCACTCATTCCTCTTTGCATAACATCAATTCAGTGTTATTTTTCTCTTAACTTTATTAAAAAATAATGGTATATAATAATGGAAATGTCTTATCATTCGCTATTGTTTTAATGTTCTTCTGTCGTTCAATAACTAAAAGCTTTAGGGTGTATTTCCTAATGATTTCGTTTTATGTTATATCACTTTTTAAAACTAACAAATAATGAAATGGTGAATACAGTCCGTTAAGGGTTTTGATATGAATTTTCAACACTATTGTTTCGTACAGTAACGTAAAACAGCAACGAGAAGCCTCAGTTATAGGGACATAAACGTGTGTTAAATATTATGATCAAAGAGACAACGAGATATTGTTGAAATAACTCTGGCTGGTGAAGTACTCCAATTAAAAAATAAATAAATAAATACAAAATAGCAACAACATTAAAAGAGACGAAGGATCGTAAATTAAATCTGTTAGTTAAGTCAGTATTAACACTTCTGCCTCTCGGTGCAGAATCTCCTACAATAGCATGTTACATGCAAGAGTATTGTCACCAAAATTATCAGAGAAAAAAAAAATATTTATAAGCCGTGGTCTGAAGCGATGCTGTTACGATATTTTAAAAATTATTTATAATTATCTGGACTGGGTTTTTTAACACGGAAGGTTATGACTGGCCCTCTGGCAAATCAAGACAATTTTATATAACAGTGAAATCCAATATGGCGTCGCCTGTAATTTCCTTGTTTGTGCAATGATCATATTTTAATTCTTTGGTATACGTGGGAATAAAGTTATTAGTGTATCTCTATTCTTTGAGGAAAATTTTTATTTCTATACTTTGTGGGAAATTGTTATAATTTCTAAACTTACAGGGAAATGAATTTGTTATTTATCTACTTGGCCGGAAATAATGTTGTGAATTCTATCCTCATTATCGTACGTTCAGAACTTAATTAACTTGGCCTGGTATATACTGCAATTTATGAGACCAATGAAGCGAGATTTATTCCTGTAGTCCTGGCCACTCACTCGCTGTTGAAGAGAGTAAGATAACACATATGTCCTTTACAAACATACACTCCTCCAACACGCAGTTATAAAGTATTGCCTTCCGTACTACGCTTCAACAACTAGGCTACGGTCTTTAAATATTCTGGGTTAGTTTATAAACACCAAATTATCAAACAACAATAATGACCTTGAAATGTTACGCTTGACGGCCAAAAATCGGCATAGAGATCATTAGCTGCATAACGAAAACTTGCCCCAAATTTATATACTGTACAGTCATGAGGCTATAGGGATTATGCGAA